CTGTCCCTGACAGACAAGCTCTACCTACACTAGCCACTTCGCAAATGCGCCCAAAACCTGGAGGCAGAGACTTAAAAGGTCTCTGCTTGACCCAAGATGGCCACCAGGGTCACCTGAAAGCAGTGTGGCCAACCTAAAATCTGACACAGGGGACTGAGGAACCATAGAGAAACAAGGTTTCCCCTGATTTCCTCTACAGCCTAAGAACCATTCCGGTCAGGTGCCACCTACAGTGAACAAAACACCTGCCTACCAGAGTCTTCTGACAGCAGTAATTCTTCAAGTCCACTGATACAGACAGAAAGATAGGTAAGAATAAAGCAGAACTTAAAATTAGCTGTAAATAATAGATAAAAATAAGTAGCATGAAAAGTTTTGCTTTGAACAGGTAATCACTGGCTGTGTGAACAGTCACAGATAGCCGCTGCCACCTGAGACTTGTCTTTGAAGTGTACAGGGCTCCAGGACCACAGTTAGAAGTTCACACTTGGCAGACACAGCAGCATGAATCAATAGATTTCTGTTGCTGTTATTCACACCGTTGCTAGTCGCCTATGAGAATGCTGCCTAAGTCTATCCAACAATCAGGGCTGAATTTTTTTCTCATAGCTGCCAGACAAGTTATTCCAGAACCCTGGAAGTCACAAGTCGCACTTTCTGTGGCAGAAATGGTGGAACTTGTGTGCATTGAACACAAGAAAAGGACACAATGTAGCAAATTTATAACACCTGGGCATCCTGTCTCATCTACAAGAATAGAACCAAATTTCAAGCCCACGTTCCTAACTAATTATTTGTATTAATCAGATAACCAATGGCAGTCCTATTCACTTTTCTCTCCCCCTCCTGCCTATAACCCCTGCTACCATTCCCCCTCACATTTTCACTGCTGTATACCCTGTTTTCTCTTTTTCTTTCTATGCCTTACTTCACACTTCTTACTTTTTGAAAATTTACTATTCCATTAAAGTGGAGCTCCACCCAAAAGGGGAATTTCTGCTTTAAGGACTGGTCCCCTGATACTCATTAAGGATTGGCACCTTTGGGGAGTGGGGGGGGGGTGGTACCTGCTCCCACTTCCCCTGCGATCGCCTAGGCAATCAGAAACAGAGGTTGTCCCCCCCCCTCGTAGCTGTCACAGCCGGGTGCCCACATTGAAGATGCCGGTGCTGGGAACACAGGGTGGCCAGTGAAACGGGCTGCGGGGGACACCGCAGGATCGAGAAACAGGTGAGTGGCTGTTTTTAAAAGTCAGCAGCTACAGATTTTGTAGCTGTTGACTTTTAATTTTTTACAGTTTTAAAGGAACTCCACTTTAAGTTAATTTGAAAATAAGACAGAAGATACACGAACTTCCTTTTTAACATACACATTTCTCAATCACTATATGAATAAGACATTGGATTGCATAGCCTGGCATTGTAGTCATTAATCTATACATTCATTTTCCCATTTCACAAAATGGTCTCTGGTCTTCATTACCAATGAAATCTGATGTGACTAAAATGTTTTGATTGGAGCTGGGATTAAAATACTAAAACTTGGAGTAATCAACCCTTTTACATACCCTTAACCAACATAATCTGTTCTTCTGAATTTGATTTATTGCTGCCCATTATTGTTTGTGCTATTATTATTATTATTATTACCATTCAGGATTTATATAGTTCCAACTGTTTGCACAGAACCTTACAATATAAAGGGGGACATTACAATTGTAATACAGTTCAGTACAGAAAGAATAGGAGGTCCCTGCGCATTGAGCTTACAATCTAAAGGGAGGGGAAATGGTACAAATGGTAATAGCTGCAGGGGATGATTTGATGGAGGTGACTCAAGTATGACTTTTTAGGTGGAGGTGGGGTCGGCTTCCCTGAATAAATGAGTTTTTAAGGATTGCCTAAAAGGCAGACAGGGTAGGACATGACCGGACATACTGGGTAGGGAGATCCAGAGGATGAATTGACTTAAAAAGTGATGCTGCGCCTCCCTCTTAATCAATAAGTGCTAACAATAAAATCCTGTGCATATTTATGTATATATCATCCCAAGAAAGTATATACCAACATAAATCAAAGTAAACATTTAATATTATTATTATTATACAGTATTTATAAAGCGCCAATGGTTCGCTCAGCGCTGTACATTACAAAGGGGGACAGAACATGTGACAGAACAATACCAATACAATGCAAAACATGAGGGGATCGAGGGCCCTGCTCTTTCGAGCTTACAATCTAGGACTATCATATAAACATATTAAAAAGTTCCAAAGTGAATTTATGAATAATAACAGAAGAGTGTCTTCAGATATCAGTCTTGAGACAAATTAAGTATATGTGAACTTTTCCAATTTTTCTCTCTGAGTTGTACTTCCTGTGCTCAATCCAGATCATACATAGTGATATCCACCATCATTCACCACTGTACTCACCTCAAATTTTGGATTTGTCTATTACATGTCATAGTGTGCCTTTTTCCCCTTATTTGGGTTCCTTCTGGTGCCTTCCCTTCAAATATGACCTTACTGATGGTTAATCTCCTGTTGTTCCTGGGTTTAGAATCTGTTCCTCCAGAAATTATAGTTGCATAGCACTTTAAAAGGACGATATTTCTCTCTGCAGTAGACTCATACAAGATAGGAGGTTCCCATAGTGTAGTATGTATTTAAAATGTATCTCTTTAATTAAAAGCACACTTATATTAAAAACACAGGCATATAGTTCAGACAGCGAGGCCGCAGTTCCTGCGTCACTTCCGGTCTCGGCTCTATGACACCTGACTCCGCCTACATACGTATCATCACACCACATGACTTTCTCAGTATTGGAGAGGTTCTGGAAAAGTCCTGGAGGCGAGCGTGGGAGGAGGTAACAAGGGAGACAGAGAGGAAGATGTCTTGGGAGGAGCGAAGAGGACGATTTGGGTGATATCTACAGATGAAATTGGTGATATAACTGGGGGCAATGTTGTGGATGGCTCTATATGTTGTGGTTAGTATTTTGAATTTTATATGTTGGGCTAGTGGAAGCCATTTCAGAGATTGACAGAGCAAGGCAGCAGTCACGGATCGTTTAGTAAGGTGTAGAAGCCTGGCAGCAGCATTCATAATAGACTGAAGGGGAGATAGTCTTTGTAAAGGTGGGCCAGTGAGCAGGGAGTTGCAAAAGTTAAGGTGGGAAATAACCAAATAGTTGAATACGTTGTTTTTGTAGTGTCGTTAGTCAGGAAGGGGCAAATCTTGGAAATGTTGCAGAAGTTGAGGCGGCAAGATTTAGCCAGTGATTGGATGTGGGGCCAAAGGAGAGGTCAGGGTCTAGGATTACACCCTGGCACCCTGGCATGTGTGGAGGGATATACAGTAAGGTCCATATATATTTGGACACAGGCACACTTTTCATAATTTTGGCTCATTATGCCACCAGAATAAATTAAAACAAAACAATCCAAATGAATTTGAAGTACAGACTTTCAGCTTTAATTCAAGGGGTTGAACATGAATATCAAGTACATATTTTAGGAACTGCAACCAATTTTATATACAGTCTCTCCATTTTCAGGGGCTCAAACGTAATTGGACGAATGAATATAATTAGAGATGAGCGAAGAAATGAAAAATTCGATTCGGCTGATTCGGCGAATTCCAGTATGAAATTCGATTCGATGCGAATTTCTCCGCTACGAAGATGACTTATAAAAAGGGTTTCTAGGCTTCAGAGAGCCTTTAAATTAGTGCAGAACACTGTACCTTTAATTTAAATGCCCTTGGAGATGAGGAAGGAGAAGGAGAAGGAGAAGGATGAGAAGAAGGAGAAGGATGAGAAGAAGGAGAAGGATGAGAAGAAGGAGAAGGATGAGAAGAAGGAGAAGGAGAAGGATGAGAAGAAAGGAGAAGGATGAGAAGAAGGAGAAGGAGAAGGAGAAGGATGAGAAGAAGGAGAAGGAGAAGGATGAGAAGAAGGAGAAGGATGAGAAGAAGGAGAAGGAGAAGGAGAAGGATGAGAAAGGAAGGAGAAGGATGAGAAGAAGGAGAAGGAGAAGGATGAGAAGAAGGAGAAAGAGAAGGATGAGAAAAGAAGGATGAGAAGAAGGAGAAGGATGAGAAGAAGGAGGAGAAGGATGAGAAGAAGGAGAAGGAGAAGGATGAGAAGAAGGAGAAGGATGAGAAGAAGGAGAAGGATGAGAAGAAGGAGAAGGAGAAGGTTGAGGAGAAGGATGAGAAGAAGGAGAAGGGAAGAATGAGAGAAGAAGGAGAAGGATGAGAAGAAGGAGAAGGAGAAGGATGAGGAGAAGGAGAAGGATGAGAAGAAGGAGAAGGATGAGAAGAAGAAGAAGGAGAAGGATGAGAAGCAGGAGAAGGATGAGAAGAAGGAGAAGGATGAGAAGATGGAGAAGGAGAAGGATGAGAAGAAGGAGAAAGGAGAAGGATGAGAAGAAGGAGAAGGAGAAGGATGAGAAGAAGGAGAAGGAGAAGGATGAGAAGAAGGAGAAGGAGAAGGATGAGGAGAAGGAGAAGGATGAGAAGAAGGAGAAGGATGAGAAGAAGGAGAAGGAGAAGGATGAGAAGAAGGAGAAGGAGAAGGATGAGAAGAAGGAGAAGGATGAGAAGAAGGAGAAGGATGAGAAGAAGGAGAAGGAGAAGGATGAGAAGAAGGAGAAGGATGAGAAGAAGGAGAAGGAGAAGGAGAAGGATGAGAAGAAGGAGAAGGGATGAGAAGAAGGAGAAGGAGAAGGATGAGAAGAAGGAGAAGGAGAAGGATGAGAAGAAGGAGAAGGAGAAGGATGAGAAGAAGGAGAAGGATGAGAAGAAGGAGAAGGATGAGAAGAAGGAGAAGGATGAGGAGAAGGAGAAGCAAAAGAAGATGAGGATGAGAAGAGAAGGAGAAGGATGACAAGAAGGAGAAGGAGAAGGATGAAGAAGAAGGAGAAGGATGAGAAAGAAGGATGAGAAGAGAAGGAGAAGAAGATGAGAAGAAGGAGAAGGATGAGAAGAAGGAGAAGGATGAGAAGAAGGAGAAGGATGAGAAGGAAGGATGAGAAGAAGGATGAGAAGAAGGAGAAGGATGAGAAGAAGGACAGTTCTGTGACAGTTTCTGTCTATTTCTGACAGTTCTGGGACATTCACTCCATACAGCGGATTCAACCGCTGTATGGAGGGAATGTCATAGAACTGTCAGAAATAGACTATTAATGACAGTTCTGGGGACTGTCCTTCCATACAGCGGTTGAAACATTGTATGTATTTGTTTCCATAAATGGATCCATTTATGGAAACAAATACATACAATGTTTCAACCGCTGTATGGAAGGACAGTCCCAGAACTGTCATTAATAGTCTATTTCTGACAGTTCCATGACATTCCCTCCATACAGCGGTTGAAATAGCTGTATGGAGTGAATGTCCCAGAAACTGTCATAAATAGTCTATTTATGACAGTTCTGGGACATTCACTCCATACAGCGGTTGAAACATTGTATCTATTTTTTTCCATAAATGACATTCTGCAAATACACTTAGAGAGAGCGCTGCAGATACACTTTTTGACCGGCTTGGAATTAAAGAAGGTTATTTTCATCCTACTTCTTCTTCTTCATCCTCATCCTCATAAGAAGAAAAAGAAGAAGAAGTAGGATGAAAATAAGAATGTAATTCCAAGCCGGCAAAAAGTGTATCTGCAGCGCTCCTCTAAGTGTATCTGCAGAATGTCATTTATTGAAAAAAATAGATACAATGTTTCAACCGCTGTATGGAGTGAATGTCCCAGAACTGTCATAAATAGTCTATTTCTGACAGTTCTGGGACATTCACCATACAGCTGTTTCAACCGCTGTATGGAGGGAATGTCATAGAACTGTCAGAAATAGACTATTAATGACAGTTCTGGGACATTCCTTCCATACAGCGGTTGAAACATTGTATCTATTTGTTTCCATAAATGGATCCATTTATGGAAACAAATAGATACAATGTTTCAACCGCTGTATGGAAGGACAGTCCCAGAACTGTCATTAATAGTCTATTTCTGACAGTTCCATGACATTCCCTCCATACAGCGGTTGAAACAGCTGTATGGAGTGAATGTCCCAGAAACTGTCAGAAATAGACTATTTCTGACAGTTCTGGGACAATCACTCCATACAGCTGTTTCAACCGCTGTATGGAGGGAATGTCATGGAACTGTCAGAAATAGACTATTAATGACAGTTCTGGGACTGTCCTTCCATACAGCGGTTGAAACATTGTATGTATTTGTTTCCCATAAATGGATCCATTTATGGAAACAAATACATACAATGTTTCAACCGCTGTATGGAAGGAATGTCCCAGAACTGTCATTAATAGTCTATTTCTGACAGTTCTATGACATTCCCTCCATACAGCGGTTGAAACAGCTGTATGGAGTGAATGTCCCAGAACTGTCAGAAATAGACTATTTATGACAGTTCTGGGACATTCACTCCATACAGCGGTTGAAACATTGTATCTATTTTTTTCCATAAATGACATTCTGCAGATACACTTAGAGGAGCGCTGCAGATACACTTTTTGCCGGCTTGGAATTATTCTTATTTTCATCCTACTTCTTCTTTTTCTTCTTATGAGGATGAGGATGAAGAAGAAGAAGTAGGATGAAAATAAGATTAATTCCAAGCCGGCAAAAAGTGTATCTGCAGCGCTCCTCTAAGTGTATTTGCAGAATGTCATTTATGGAAAAAAATAGATACAATGTTTCAACCGCTGTATGGAGTGAATGTCCCAGAACTGTCATAAATAGTCTATTTCTGACAGTTCTGGGACATTCACTCCATACAGCTGTTTCAACCGCTGTATGGAGGGAATGTCATGGAACTGTCAGAAATAGACTATTAATGACAGTTCTGGGACTGTCCTTCCATACAGCGGTTGAAACATTGTATGTATTTGTTTCCATAAATGGATCCATTTATGGAAACAAATACATACAATGTTTCAACCGCTGTATGGAAGGACAGTCCCAGAACTGTCATTAATAGTCTATTTCTGACAGTTCCATGACATTCCCTCCATACAGCGGTTGAAACAGCTGTATGGAGTGAATGTCCCAGAACTGTCAGAAATAGTCTATTTATGACAGTTCTGGGACATTCCCTCCATACAGCGGTTTCCGGCAAAAAGTGTATGTGACATACACTTTTTGCCGGCTTGGAATTATTCTTATTTTCATCCTACTTCTTCTTCATCCTCATCCTCATCCTCTTCTTCTCTTCTTCTGAGATGAGGATGAGAAGAAGAAGAAGAAGAAGAAGAAGAAGAAGAAGAAGTAGGATGAAAATAAGATTAATTCCAAGCCGGCAAAAAGTGTATGTGCAGAGCTCCTCTAAGTGTATCTGCAGAGCTCCTCTAAGTGTATCTGCAGAATAGAGGAACTCTGCACATACACTTTTTGCCGGCTTGGAATTATTCTTATTTTCATCCTACTTCTTCTTCTTCTTCATCCTCATCCTCTTCTTCTTCTTCTGAGGATGAGGATGAAGAAGAAGAAGAAGTAGGATGAAAATAAGATTAATTCCAAGCCGGCAAAAAGTGTATGTGCAGAGCTCCTCTAAGTGTATCTGCAGAGCTCCTCTAAGTGTATCTGCAGAATAGAGGAACTCTGCACATACACTTTTTGCCGGCTTGGAATTATTCTTATTTTCATCCTACTTCTTCTTCTTCTTCATCCTCATCCTCATCCTCTTCTTCTGAGGATGAGGATGAAGAAGAAGAAGAGTAGGATGAAAAGAAGAATAATTCCAAGCCGGCAAAAAGTGTATGTGCAGAGTTCCTCTATTTCTGACAGTTCTCTCACAGCTTCTTCACATGTACAGTGGTTGAAACATCTGTATCCTAACTGTAAACTAATAGATACAATGTTTCAACCGCTAAACATGTGTTCCTTCTGTCAGAGAACTGTCAGAAATAGCGGAGCTCACTGCAGGGACATTTTTGCCGGCTGATCGGGAAATCTTCGATTCGCGCACCCGAAGTAGGCAAAATTTCGGTTTCGACGCGAATCGAATATTTCCTGAAATTCGACTCGAATTCCGGTTCGCCTGGTTCGATTCGCTCATCTCTAAATATAATCATAAATAAAATATTCATTTTTAATATTTTGTTGAGAATACTTTACTGGCAATGACTACCTGAAGCCAGGCTCTAACTTCAGCTGTCTTCAGTTGTTCTATGTTTGTGGGTCTTTCTGCCTTTAGTTTTGCTTTCAGCAAGTGAAATGCATGCCCAATTGGGTTGGGATCAGGTGATTGACTCGGCCATTGCATAATATTCCACTTCTTTTCCTTCAAAAGCTCCTAGGTTGCTTTTGCAGTGTTTTTTGGATCATTGTCCATCTGTACTGTGAAGCGTCGTTCCAATCAACTTTGCTGCATTTGGCTGAATCTGGGCTGACAGTTTATCTCTAAACACTGCAGTATTCATCCGCCTGCTTCTGTCTTCTGTTACATCATCAATAAACACCAAAGACCCAGTGCTACTGGAAGCCATGCATGCCCATGCCATCACACTGCATCCACCATGATTTACAGATTACATTGTGTGCTTTGGATCATGAGCTGTTCCAAGCCTTCTCCACACTTTTTTCTTCCCGTCATTCTGGTACAAATCAATCTTAGTTTCATCCGTCCAAAGAATGCTTTTCCAGAACTGGTCTGGCTTTTTTAGGTGTTTTTGGCAAAGTATAATCTGGCTTTTCTATTCTTCTGGTTTATGAATGGTTTGCTTCTTGTGAAGTCTTCTCTTGATTGTAGACTTTGACACTGATACACCCACCTCCTGGAGAGTGTCCTTCACTTGTCTGGATGTTGTGAATGGGTTTTTCTTTACCATAGAGAGGATCCTGCCATCATCCACCACTGTTGTCTTCTGTGGACGTCCATTCCTTTTTATGCTGCTGAGCTCACCAGTGCATTCTTCTTTCCTCAGAATGTACCAAACTGTTGATTTGGTCACTCCTAATGTTGCTGTTATCTCTCTGATGGATTTGTTTCATTTTTGAAGCCTTACAATGGCCTGTTTCACTTGCATGGACAGCTCCTTTGAACGCATGATGTAGGTTCACAGTAATAGATTCCAAATGCAAATACCACACTTAGAATCAACTCCAGACCTTTTACCTGCTTAATTGAAGAAACAACAATGAAGTAGCCCACAACTGCCCATGAAACAGCTTTTGAATCAATTGTCTTACTTTTGGTCCCTTGAAAAAGGGGGGATGGCTACTCTTAAGGGCTGTAATTCCTAAACCCATCCTCCAATTTGGATGTACATACCCTCAAATTAAACCTGAGAGTGTGCACTTTCAGCCCATATCCATTATATAATTATAGCTTGAATATGTTTTGGTAAATACCTGAAAAAAAAACTAAAATTGTGCCTTTGTCCAAATATACATGGACCTATAACTGTATATAAAACAAAACTCTCCTGGACACAGGTGTGGAACAACTTGCTAATCCACCTGGAGATCCACACACATGTAAATACAGATAATAGGGGTGTGGGTGTGTGTATCTTGAATCTTCCAAATACACCTGGGGGACCTATGAGGCCTTGTTGCCTTCTACTGGTTGGGGGAATACCAGAGACCCACTGTAAAAAAAACAAAAAACAGCGCACTGGCCTAGTACATCTATCCCATTGGGTTTATTGATAAAATATACTCACAAACCAAGGTGAGACTGAAGCTTAATACATCAAGCGCTGAGCAAACTGTTGGCGCTATATAAATCCTGTATAATAATAATAATAATAAAAAAGACAATGGCGAAAAGGACCCATGAGGGAGATTATGTCATATGAACATCTTCCGGGGGTCTGGACTGGCTTACGCATTTCGAGGGAAAGCCCTCATCCTCAGAACTCAAAAAACAGATGTACCTGTTTTGAAGCTACCTTAACTCCAGTTGGCTTTATTATTAGGAATTGTTATCCACAAGTACACATACAATATTATGTTCAGTCAGCTGACCCCCTATTGGCCCCCTGGGAGGAGTCTTGGGTTCTCATGTCAAGGTCATTTAATACTTAACTACCACCATGTAGTATGCATCCATTTTTTGAGGAAGAGGGCTTGCCCTCCAAACGCGTAAGACAGTCCAGACCATGGGAAGATGTCCATTTGCGGGAATTTCCCTCCTGGGTCCTTCTCATCATTGTCTTTGTGATGTATTAAGCTTCATTTTCACCTTGGTTTGTGAGTATATTTTAATCCTTGTATTTAATCAATAAACCCCCATGGAATAAATGCACTAGACCAGTGCTCCTTTTTTGTTTTTGTTTCTTTTACAATGTGTGAAGGGATCAATGGTTGTGCTGCTGATCTCAATGAAAAAGTTGTGGGGGAAGGAGGTTGAGGAGGAGGAAATATTACAAGCTTAGTTTTAGAAAGATTGAGTTTGAGAAAGTGGCGTGTCATCCTGTATAATATAATTATGTATGTCCTACAACGTATTGCCAAAATAAAAATGATGTGCAAACATCGAATGAAACTAAAATTCCTGTATTGATTTAACCGCTGTCAAATGCTGTGGTGGCCATTTCACAGCTTAAACACTTTTTTTTATCATTGAGTACCACCTCCTGTACAGGTGACTCTATCTTCTTTTGTTCCTAGCAGGCAATGTCAACATATACTGCATATGCATTGATTACACCCTCTTTTCTTTATTTCTTTTTTTTTCTTTCATTTCTGGTTGTAGCAACAGTACTGACTCACCACAACAAAAAAAAAAAAGAAAAAGAAATTTTCACCCCAGTTTTACAGAAATGTGAACACCTTGTCTTGGGTAAACACTGAGCAAGAACATAGGAATCTGTCAGAATAATAAATAATTTCACACTTAATGAAATGCCTTCAAGGTAAAAAGGGAGTTATTCTTGAAGGTTTGGTATTTTTATTAAACCTGGTAGCTGGAAGACACTCCTTGTAAATACATTCATACCACCTCTGTTCCAATTCCACCCACTGCATTAATATTTTTTTCTGTTGATGCAAATGCAATATCCTGAAGATTTTTGCCACCATAAATAAACATACACTATATGACCAAAGGTTTGTGGACGCATATCACACCTTCTGAGCTTTTCTATGGACATTAATAAAGACTCCTTCTACCCTGTGGCTATAACAGCCTCCACCCTTCTGGGAACTGATGATGGATGAGAAGACTGTATAGTTAATCACAGTTATACACACAAACAGTAGCTGCCACCATGTATTTAA